CATTAGTTCTAATTGTATTATATTTAAAACATTCTAAGATTATTCTTGTAAATAAACAATCTAATAAATAAATAGAGTTTAATATTTTTGTTGTAAATTTTCAAGAGCAAAAAAAAAATGCATAAATTCATTTTCATCATATGCTTAAGTTTTATTCCAGTTCTAATCATCGCTTTTTAAAACAAACATTCTCAGTAAATGAAATATTCCTTATGCCAAATTAAAGGTGTGTATTATACACCAAAAAATATGGAATTTATTAGCAGTGAGTGTTAAATGGCAGCAGAAATGATAATTTTGATTAAACCATTTTTTTCTTTAGAGCCAAGTATTTTCACGATGTCATCGACTGGTGCCACCAGAACCATTCTACTCATCATGCATCTATGACATGTGTGCATGTCCTGAAGATTTCAACTGTTTATGTGATATTCTACAAACGTACGCACATAAATGTGCCCAAGCAAAGGTTAGAGTGCAATGGAGATCAACAACATTATGCGGTGAGTGTGACCAGATTTTGTATTTCCTACTTCTGTAATGTCCTCATATGACTCATGGCTTTGCAAGAGTCCTTTGGGCTATTGTTCTCATTCTTTTTGTTGTTTCCAAAATTTTTCAGCCAATCTATTCAGGTGTACAATTCATATTAAAACAGGTCCCTGTCTTTATGTTTGGAGGGCTCTGTGTGTTTTAAAAAAGAAAGTTGATAGACTCTATCAGTTGGTAAAGAGACATGTTTTCCTTCCATATACATTGCGTACCTGAGAATGGTCAGCAAACAGATCAATTGAAATATGGTAGCAGGAAAAAAAATGAGAACTAAATTCTAAACGATCATTGGAATGATAATGAATCCCCCTGAAAATTACAAATAGTACTAAAATTAGGAAAAGTACCAAAAGATTAAAGGCAGCAGTACAGTGGATGATTTTTACACTTTCCAACTTGTAAAAATGGAAACTAAACTTGACATATGTATGACATACTAGATAAAATAATAGTGTAGCTGTGTCATTGTTGAAAGGACAAAATTTTAGGGGCCAGAAAGATTTAGTATTCTCCAAGATGGTAACTGCTCTACATTTTTTTTCTTGGGAATACTAGGAATATGTGCATTCTGAATAGACATCAACAGCATGTGAAATCTGTGAACATCTAAATGGAACACTATTTACATTATTCGGACTATTGTCCTCATCTTTGTCACCATGTTTATCACAATGTTTCGGCCGTTGTACGCTCTGGCCTTCTTCAGGTGGTTGGAATGTTGAACTTAACCCTTTATTTTGCTCACTGAGGTAGACTGTTCTAGTTCCACGTGCCATGTCTAATGAATGTCAGTTATCTTCTGTTAATTCCCCTCTAAAAGTTATCCACCACCTTAACCAGGTATTGAACTCACACTCTTTGAATCTAACTAACGTCTTTATCCACTGTGCCATGTGTCCTTGAGGACATCTGTTTATTAATTTCTGGGTATTATAAATCTAATGTCTTCAGCAACCAATTTTTTACCAGTGCTTATTATTGCAATTTTTACTGTTATCATTGCATGTTTTTTTACCAGAGTTCATATTGCAATTTTTTTGTTGTTGTTATCGCTTTTCTCTGGCACTTCTTATTTCTGGTTCCCATATTGTATTCATTTCTATGCATAAATAATAATCAGTCCTCTTTAGATTTAATGGGATTTTTAACATGAAGTAATTTTTTTTTGGAGGATGTGTTAGTAGCTTAACATTTAAGAGAATGGAAAATGAAATCATTGAGCCAAATTCAAATTTCAGCTGAGACAGTTTGTGTTCACTTTGCACCAATGCTCTGGGAAAAGGTAAGAACCCTATCTTCTTCCCCCAGTTATAGGTTAAATAATAGCATAAACTGGGCTTTCTAGCCTTGGTTGTCAACCAGTCTAGAAAAATAGTAACTCTAAATTAAGAATTGTGGAGAAGGTTACAGGAAACCAATCAGTTATCCCGTCCTGGGTATGATGATAAACTGCATCTGCGTCCTAGGTAAAATGATAAACTACATCCAACAGCAAGGCCTCTGATAAAGTCTCTTAATTGCTGGTGTTCCCAAGTCCACCCTGACCTGGGGTGGTAGCACCTGTTAGGGTCCCAGCTATGGGCAAATAGTTAACCCCAAAAGTGAGGTAAAAGGCATTGTGAAAGTGTAAAAATAGGTTTTAATACCAGAAATACTTTGTAAAAATTATTACCAGCAATACATGTTTTAAAATAATATTACCAGCTATACATTTTTGAGGAAAAAAATATTACCAGGTATAGATTTTTGATATAAATATTGCCAGAAAAAAAAAATTGTCGCCATTAAATAACCCATTGAGGTTGATATGCTGTAAAACACAACAAAACAAGCAATCAATCAAATATTTTTTCAAGAACAATAATAATAATAAACAGTTTATGAATACTAAAGAACAAGTACCCTGTAGAGACCTGCATCAGCGAGAAAGATGGGCAAAAAAGTTCTTCAGGCTGAAATAAAAATGTCCTAATAGAATTATTATATAATAAACAACGGTTTACTTTCAAAAAATTACCAACTGATATTATGAAGAAATGTTTTCTTGGGAATCACATTAGGTTTCAAAAGAGAAGAAATAATTTTTAAAAATGAAATCCAAAGAAAAAAGAATATTTATTGTAATATTATGTTAGAATTCTACTTGTTCCTTAATTAGCATGTACATTACACCCTGCCATTAACTCAGATAAACAATGGCCGATATCTGTTTGATTGTGAGGATAGACAAAAGAAATGACATAAAAAGGCCATGTTTGTTTTTGTTTTTTTTTTTTTTTTAGTGGGGTGGGGAGAAAAGCCTCTCGTGTTCAATGCCTGCCTCAGGGAAATGTATAAATGTGTTAGTTTTGAATCTTTTTATTTGTACCCTCTTACTTAACATTCACAATTATGATTGTTACTGTAATATTTTGTTGTTAAGCTCAAATATTTAACAACGCAATATGGGAATTTCCTCTGGTATTTTATAGACATAGAACATGCAAGGAGGTTATTCAATCATTAACTTAAGAATTAAGATTTATAGGAAATCCGTGAAATTTTCATAGGTATTACTAGTAATAATTAACATGCTTATCTCACAAGTATTGAAAGTTTTCAAGGAAGTAACCTTTTGCCAAAGTTGTGCTTATCCGACAAATAGCCAAAATGAAATTGAAATATTTGTATTCCCATAATGTAGAAGAGCTTCATTTTGATGGATATATTCTGAATTAATGTATTGATTGTCTGCTAATGATCTATTCTTTTTGTATTTCATTAATTTGGTTAAAGAAATTCAATTTATTGTTGGTATTGACTTTTTATCTATTTTTTTTTTATTCTTCCAACTGTATTTGTTCTAATTGCAGTATTTAAAATATACAAGAGGGATGCTGAAATATTCTCAACGCAACGTAGTTCCCAAAATCTAACCAAACAGCAGATTTTGTGGGGAGGGCTTATAGATTGAGCCAAGAATTTTTCCATCCCATCCTTGTATATCTTCACTCAAGTTCAAATGAAACTTAACAAATGAAATGTCAGAATGGAATGTGGAATTCTTGACGTTAAAGGAAAAGTTACAGACAAGAATTAAGAAGAAATAAAGCATCAGATGGAATTCATCGTCTTTGTTGCTACAAAAATTACTTCAGAGTAGAAAAATTTGAGAAGTTACCAAAGGGCATTTTGTTTTTTTCGGACAGTCTTGTAAGATTCAAAATGCTGCCATGATCTAGATACCTGTTTCTAGGTTGAAGCATAAATTCATACTGGTCTTCTAGATTATTTTTAAATAACTGATTTTGATGAAATTCGTTAATTTTTAAAATTAATTCAAACTGTAACTTGAAAGTTTAACCATTCTTAAGATAAGTACATATGTCTTGAAGATGGCCGCCTGGCTAATAAGATGCAAGGGGTTACTGAGAGTGAAAGAAACTAAGAAAAAAAGTTATGTATCAACCTACACCAGAAAAACAACATTTTTTTTTTTTTAAAGATTGTAGTTGTGGAGTGAGTAGCCATAGTTAAATGCAAAATAAGTGACAGAACTATCCAACAAAGAATTGAAAAAGTTTGCAATAAGCAATAATAAGACAAAAAAAGTACAAGGCAAAAAAATATAAAAAGCAAGCAAACAATAAGAAATGCAAAAATAAGTAACAGAAATGACAAAGTTTACAATAGGCAATAACAAGAAAAAGAACAGGGCAAAAAAAAATTATATAAAGAAAGCAACAAATATATGCAAGGCAAAGCAACAGTAATATGGCAAAAACATTCACAAACTAAGAATTGGGGTTAACATATAAAAAAAAGTTTGGAAAAGCAAACATAGCATTCTGACTTCAAGGCAAGACAGACTGTGACTAATTTTTATTAAAACAAAAAGAAACATTTTAAACTTTGCAAACTTTTATGGCATAGGGTGTTTTGTAGGTTCCCGGTGAATATGTGGTATTGTGGTATATGTAGGATTGAATGGTGATGGATGAGTTCTTGTTGTGAATGAGTCGATTGTAATGAATGAATGGGTCATGAGTTTGATTAATTAGGTCTAGGATAGTTAGTGATGACCAGCCTTACCCCATTTCTCCTTTGGCCTTGTGCCACAATTTTATATTTTTCATAATAAATATATATTCCTATGCAGGATTAAAACCAATAGTTGACAGGAAAGCAAGGTTTTTAAACCATGACGATGTGTCATTGCTGGACCTTTATAGTTTCTAATATTCACATACTTTTCAAATCTGTCTTATCAACAAACATCATCTTTGGGCCATAAACTTATTAAATCCATTTAAGCAGGTTTCAAGAAGACTGGGTGTGGGAAGGGTCATCTAGTATAAAGGTCAAAATAATATTCAAGCAAAAAGCATTGAAAACTTTGAAACATTGAAAACTAAAACTGTTGATCAAATCATTTAATGAGCATGTAAACTTCATCATCAAAGGCTTAAGGCCACATCACATTGAAACACCGAGTCCCAAACACTCACCAAAGTTAAGCAATTTCGAGCCTGATCAGTATCTAGATGGGTGACCATATGGGAATACCAGGTGCTGTAAGCTTGAATGTGTGGGTGGTATAATGGATAATGGCTTGGAATTGTTAATTAAAGAGCTGAGTTTCAATTTCTGTTGGATTTGTTATATTCACTTACACCCAAATACCCTTGGAAAAATGTATAAATTGACCTCTTCCTCTCCCCTAGCTATGGGTTAATTAGTAAGACTTGTATAACTAAACCATTATTACCTCAAAAAAAATTATAATCTAAAAATATTTTGTCTATATTTCTGAGATGAGGTATTATATACAATATTTACATAATTCGGACTATTGTCCTCATCTTTGTCACCATATTTATTACAACGTCCTCAAGGACACATGGCACAGTGGATAAAGGTGTTAGTTAGATCCAATGACAGGACCCAAAGACTGTGAGTTCAATACCCAGTTAAGGCAGTGGAAAACTTGGAGTGGGGAATTAAAAGGAGATAACTGACAGCTGACATCCATTAGACATGGCACGTGGAACTAGAACAGGCTACCCCAGGGTGTGAAATAAAGGGTTCAGTTCGACATTCCAACCACCCGAAGAAGGCTGGAGCGTACAACAGCCGAAATGTTGTAATAAATATGGTGACAAAGATGAGGACAATATTTCAAATAACGTAAAAAGTAAAAATATTTTGTGGCTTTAGATAACATGCAAAGGGTTGATAAGCCATGAAAAATGAACCAGTCAAGCAAATGGCAATAATATGAGAGCAATTGAACAAAGAATAATGAATTTGAGATTCTCACCTTGTTCATGGTAAGGTCACAGGTTCAATGTATAGGTCAAGGAGAGGCCACAGTTCCAGGAGTTTACAGGCACAGATAGAAAGAGAAGCATGCCCAACTTAATAAGAGTAGATAGGTTCAACCATTGCCTGGTTCACACTTCTTCTCCATTTTTTTTTTTTTAACAGGAGTAGCAGTTTATCCCTTGTTTCCTGTTTAGGATTGGATTTCCAGTTCCTTCTCTTTAGGTTTTGTCATTTGCTTTCACTCTCAATAGCAACTTATGTCTTAGTGGCATTATTGCCTTGCTTGGGATGAAATGATTAAAAAACAAGGTTCAATATTCCAAAATATAAATAAGACACCTGATGAAGGTTGGAAAGTACATTTTCTGAAACACTGTGATGACAACAACAAAGAAAGTCAGCTTGAATGAACTAATATACAATGATTGTAAACCTTATATATATATATATATATATATTGTGTATTTGTACAAAAAAATCCCTTCTTTATGCAATTTTTTAAAAAGATGACTGACAAGTTACTGCAATTAAGTTTTTTTTATTTTTCTTGTCTTTGTATGATGTTTTCTTTTTCTGGACATAAAGTATGTAAAAATTATCGGATTGCTCAGTATGTCAAAGTGCTTTCGCCTCCTTTTTTAGCTGTTATCAATGATGATTTGTATGGATTTTTTTATGTATGTATCTCGAGTTATAGGAAGTTTTATTATTTTCCAAAACACAGTCAGCACACAAAACACATTATATATATATATATATATATATATATATATATATAGATTAGTGCATAATTATCAGGCATTTTTAAACAATATTTATCATGAAAAAAGAGACATAACAATTCAACAATAACATTTTTAAATGATTATTGCCGAGCATATTTTTGTAACCTGAAAATAAAATATTTTTATTAAAAACATAAATAAAACAGCAATATTTATTAACAAATAAATTGCCTACAAAAACGCCTGAGAATTATGCACCAATCTAAAGTATATCTTGGTGGTGTTTATAAAACAGTGCTCTCCACCTGAAGATTGTGTCATGCATGAAACTCTGAATTGTACTAGTGTTAAGGGACTATATATATATATATATATATATATATATATAATCCCTCACCACTAGTACGATTCAGAGTTTCATATATATATATATATATAATCCCTCACCACTAGTACGATTCAGAGTTTCATATATATATATATATATATATATATATATATTTATATACATACACACACACAGTGCTCTTGGGGTACTGTTCCAAGGTTATCCTTATACTTAGATGAGTATCACTGCAGAACTGAGTGAGTAGCGGCACTATATCAAGTCTAGTTTGTGGCTTCTTTGTCACCGAGACCTGTGGTACAGTTGGTATGACATTCACGTTGTATCGAAATGGTCTGGGCTTGATTCTTGGTAATGGATGTGCACTGCTGATGAGTCCCTCCCAAATAGGACGAAATGGTGGTCCAATGCTTTCTGCATTCTGTTACTGGAAGAAAATATATATATATATATATATATATATATATTAATATTTTTATTGAAATATATATATATATATATATATATATATATTCAGACAAGTTTAAAATAATCCTTCACAGATAAAATTTATCTTTTAGATTTTTTTTCTTAAATGACACCAGCAACTTCAGATTACCTTGAAAATGTAGGTTATTAGTCATCCAAAATTGTACTAGTAAGTTAAATTATCACCAAGTGACCTAGTAGCCTAAGTAAGTCTGACTAAAATAAATTCATTTATTCAGTATAACATTTGAAAATTACAGATTTCTAACAATTTCTTTTGGTAATAATTATGGAATTAGGACACTTTAGAGAATGTTCACCTGTGTGCTTTATTTAGCAGTAACTAAAGTAATAACATATAAGATGCAAAACATTTTATTTAATAGCCACCCATCCTGGTTTCATAAAATATACCTCAAACAAACTTGATTAAATTATTTAAATCAATGGTTTAATTTTAATTTCCAAGCCATGCAGAGGAAATTAGTATGGAATAAAAAAAAAATTCTGAAATTCTCTTGTAATTTGTATTCTGTTATATTCTATTCCTTACCAATAGGAATATATACTTGAATAAACAAAGTGGATAAAAATAAGTAAAGGTTTATTGTAAAAAAAAAAAAAACAGTACAATAAGAATAAAGGTAACAGTTATGCACAAGGTCGTCGCAAGGCAATCCAGTAGTGAGTGCTACTATTGGAAGGTCAGTAGTTCTCGTGTAAGTCTGAGTCATACTAAACAGATTCCAGTTAGTAATATTCACCAACCTCCCCACCTGGTTGGATGTGGTATAAGGCCAAATTTAATGTGGGGCAATTCGAGCCTGTAGGCTTGGCCAAAAATTCCCCGTAAACCCCGCATAAACAGGCTTGGGTCTGTCTACCTCCCCAAATGAGAGTCTGCCCTTTGGCATAGCCTTGTCCAGGTTTCTCTCTGCCTGAAGACAGAGAGTTCGACAGCAGCTATGACCTGAGTAACAGATCCCAGCTAGTCTCTGTAGTCTGTTGACTTACAGATACTTATAGTGTAGTTACTCATGGGGGTGACATTACAGGTTATTCCATTACATCATATTCTTAAAACAAATAGCAGAAGCCTAGAGACACAAATTGTTGTACAATTAAGAGTTCTTGCAGACTTCAACAAGCAGTTCGACATAACTAATTGAAAGGAAACATGGCTCCAACAAAGGAACTTTCAGTTGAGACAATGGAAAGAATCATAAAATTCTTTCAAGAGGGCAATCTACAGTGGAGTGTTATGAAAGATGTTGCTTGTTCTCAGTCAGCTGTGTCTAAAATTTGGTATTAAGAAAAAAAAGAAATGCGATGGTTAAGAAACGGAAAATATACTGGCAGGTGGGGAAAGACATAAAAGCATCAATATAGAAAACTCAAAGAGGAAAACAAGTATATTTCGCAAGTCATTCATGATATGAGGTTTTTATGTCATTTAAAAGACCAGGGAGATGGCAGTCATTATTTCAACAATCATTGCACATGTGTAAATTGAAAGCCTGGATAATTTTCTATATTCCATTCATAGAAAATTGATTTTGCTGGATGATAATGCATCTTGTTCTACAGCAAAAGGGGATTAAATCTTCTTTCCAGTAAAGGTGAATAAAAAATCAATGACATGACCAACGATCAGTCTGGATCAAAATCCAATTGAAAGTTTACAGTGAAAATAATGGTGCATGAGAAGGCTCCATCCACAGAAGTAGATTTAGCTGCCATTTGTAAAAAAAATGGTATCACTTTTATAAAGAATATTATTTTTAATTAAGGAAATCCTTGACTGAAAGAATTAAGGCAGTCATGAGGAGGGGGCAACTAAGTATTAATTCTAATTTTTTTTTGTTTGTCAATTTCCATAATGTTTTCTTCAATATTGGGCTATTCCATAATTGGTTCCTCTGAATGACTTGGGGGAAAAAATAATTTAATCTAAATTGTTTAAGGTATATTTTAGGAATATTCAGTTATTAAAGAAAAAATGTTTTTCATCTTATCTGTTATAAGGTTTTTTTTTTTTTTTTTTTTTTTTTTTACAGTAAATAAAATAAGTGAACATCCTCTCAATGTGTTAATTCAATAATTCTGTCTACATGCTGTATTAATTTCATTATTTAAATTATTCAGACCATTATCCTCATCATCATTGCCATATTCACAATGTTTCAGCTGTTGTACACTCCGGCCTTCTTCAGGTGATTGGAATTTCGAACTGAACCCTTTATTTCATCCAATGGTGTAGATACCTGGCCCAGTGGATAAAGACATTGGTTAGATTCAATAACTAGACCCAAAGAGTTGTGAGTTCAGTACCAGGCCACATCAGTGGTGAACTAAAACTTGGAGAGTTACAGGGAACTAGAACACCCCCTCCCCCCAAATGAAACAAAGGGTTCAGTTCGAAATTCCAATCACCTGAAGAAGGCCAGAACATACAATGGCCAAAAAAATTGTGAATAATATGGCAATGAAGATGAGGATAACAGTCCGATTAATGTAAATAATGCAAGTAATCATAATACCTCATCTCAGAGATATAGACAGATGCTTATCAAGTTTTCTTTTTTATGTCCATTTGAGCAAAATATAACCCATTAATGTTCATCATAAAATCTGGTATTAATTGTAAAAATCCAGTATTATTTGTAGGTTTCTACCTATGACCTAATAATGTACATCAATCCAAAAATGGATCAG